AAAATTCCTAACAAGTATACATATATACATTAATATTTTTAATTTTTGATATTGTTCTGAATCACAAAATTCAAAGAATGGAATAGCCAAATAATTATCAATTATTTAGATTTTTTTATTGTTATGACAGTAATTTATTCAATTAATACTAGCTGAAGTCTTATTTATGTTTATCACGATAATTAATTTACATTAAAATTCTATTTATATTGTTGTCTGCCTGTTATCATTTTCTGCAAAGTAGGGTTTGAAATTTTTGTATTATTTTTATAAATAAATTATTGTTTTATTAATTAAAGTTTATTATTATTAATTGAACAATTAATTATTATTATGGTTGAACTCAACCCCCTTGTTTCTTTTATTTTTTGGCAACCCTACTTTTTCTTATGTAATAGAAATTTTTTTTTATTTACTTGTATAACTTGCATACAACCATGTTACCAAGGCATTAATGAATCATTATTGTATGAATAAGAATTTTGAATATTAATTATAAAATCAGAAATATAATTGTTTGTCAAAAACTCAACCTGCGCATGGTCCCTTAATGCCCAGGCCTGCAAACGCCTATGCTAATAATCTATTTTCTTCTTTAAAAGACTTAATGTAGCAACAATTATTTATTTAGCTATTATTCTTTTAAAAAATTAAATCATTAGTTATATTTTCATGCAAAGCCATAGTAACCATAATATATTTTACTGATTATTGGTCAACAATAAGTGTTAGCCACTGCACTGAATTGCAGGCTTAGTGTCTCTACTCTTGGACTTTCATGCACCATTCCCTGTCTACAAATTAATGTAGGCTGTGAAATGAGTAGCAAGGCTACTATCCATTATAATTATTTTCCCTTATAATAATATAGGTTGTATCAAGTTTAACTGGACACAATAACACTTGTAGATGCTTTGAGAGCCACTATTTGTTGCTTTTCAAGCAACAGGATTGGCACCTCCTTTGTTGTATTTAAGCACAAAAAATACTATCAATAAATTCGTATTGGTTATGATTGTGATTTTCATGGTTTCATTTTGCATTACATGCATGCTTGGGTTTTTCAGTTTGCTATCCTTATAACTTATATCGAAATATATATTCACATAATTAAGAAAAGATTATAAATGTAGGTACATATAAGATAAAAATAGCCTGCCTCCAGCAGCTGAAAACGAGAATACACTGAGAAGTACAGAACGTTTATAGTCCCTTGATTTCTTTTACAGCAGCCCTTGATATCTTGATCTATGTCTGATTTTGTCTCTATTACAAACACCTATAGACTGTTATAAAAGTGACATGTCCCCTTGAAGGGTGTCATTTTGGGAAAGAGAGAGTAAAAATGAGCAAATAATGAAAATTAGTATTTGTGTGCAGTGCCAAATTTACAGGTTTCCATCTCCCTTCTCTCTTCGGCACACCATCTCCCTGCTCTCTGCCAAACCATCTTCCTGCTTTCAGTGCCACACAATGTCCCTGCTGTCACTGCCACATCGTCTTCCTGCTTTCCCTTCGACAATCGACATGCTCTCACTGCCTTTCTATTTCCCTTTTCTCATGGCCACACCATCTCCCTGCTCTCATTGCCGCAACATCTTCCTGCTCTTATTGCAACACCATGTCCCTGTGCTCAATGCCACACCATCTCGCTGCTGTCACTGCCACAGAATTTGCTCGCTCTCATTGTCACACCTTCCTGGTCTCACTGCCACACTATCTCTGTGGTCCACACTATCTTCCTCCTTTCACAGCCACTCCATTTCCCTGCTTTCACTGCCTCACTGTGCCACCACTCTCACTTTCTTCCATCTCCTTGTTCTCATGGCCACACCATTTCACTGCAACCTTTTTCCTGATTGCCACACCATCTGCCTGATTGCCACACCATCTCCCTCTTCTCATTGCCACAACATCTCCCTGCTCTCACTGCCACACCATCTCCCTGCTCTCACTGCCACACCAACTCTCAGCTTTCACTGTCTTACCATCTTCCTGCTTCTTGCTCTCACTGCCACACCATTGTCCTACTTTCACTACCTCACCATTTCCCTGCTCTCACTGCCAAACCCTATTTGTCCCTTCCTCTGTGGGCTTTTTTCTCTTTCCTCTGCCTGTCACTCTTTCTCTGAGTATCTGTTCTAAATTTACATGTACATGTCAAGACCCAAATATTTTATTAAGTGCCGAACCACAACCCAGCCTTAATAATAATGTCTAATGAATAAAATCAACTAAAGCACATGGTCAAGCACATGTTAACTGTA